CCCGTCCCGTCCTGGGCGGGGCCATGGCCCGTGGAGGGTCCTCTTTTTTTATTTATGAGATATGGTAACCCTAGTTGACATGGTCTGGCAGAGCTCAGCCGCCGACAGACTGGCCACAGCATTACAGGTAGGTGGGGAGTGAGTCTCCCACTGTATGCGGCAGAGACGCTCACCCTTAGGAAGACCTGCAGAACTCGCAATTGTTTTATTGCAGTATCACAAACACTACAATGTAACAAAGTAGACAGAGAGAATATAACCCCCAGAACTTGCATTCTCACACCATGGGAATGCAAGTCTCATGGTCTTTGCACACAACTCTGAAGTAGGTAAGATGACCCACGAGAGGTCCTTGCCCTGGCAGGCTCCAGGAGTGCCTGGACAGAGTGCCACCTGGAATCATAGATGTTGCTAACGCCTAACTCTTATTCAGTAGGGTTCTCAGCCCCTTTTCCTTAGCCGTTTCCTCACCCTACTGATGTTTGGGTACCCTTCTTCCATAGGTTACTAGGCCTTTTACTTCAAACTTATTAGCAAATACATCCGTCAGTTACTGTGGCATTCTCGTGACTGGACATCTGCTGTATCTAGCTAAAGCTGGTATAAACGCACCTTGTGATACCTGTCAGCAGTTCAGCAACACTTGCTTAGAACAGCACTCTGTCTTGTGACGACCTGTGATATAGGGTCACTTACTGGTTAGTTGCTTACATAGACGATTCATGTCTCCCCATACCGGAGGGGGACAATCTAAAGGGGAGGACACGTAACTGCCCCACATGTCTCCTCTGCCCAGCGACCTCCCCCGTGCCCAGCACAGGGCCACTGTGCTCTCCTCACCCCACGTTACCTGCCCAAGGGGGGCTCTGTCCTTCCGCTGCACTTGCCCCCAGCATGTTCAGCTGCTCTCCCGGACAGCTGGGCCGGGCAAGGAGCAGGAGGGAGCCGCTTCTCACCTGGCTGAAGCTGGCCGCTCCCGGTCGCTGCTCTGGGCAGCGCAGCAGCTGTCTGAGAGAGCC